AACTGACTTTACTGTTAAGCACGACATGGCTTCTGGGTACACCGTGCTAACATGTTAGCTGTCTTACAGTTTACTGTTTAGCATGACATGACTTCTGGGTACACTGTGCTAACATGTTAGCTGTCTTCCAGTTTACTGTTAAGCATGACATGGCTTCTGGGTACACCGTGCTAACATGTTAGCTGTCTTACAGTTTACTGTTTAGCATGACATGGCTTCTGGGTACACCGTACTAACATGTTAGCTCTCTTCCAGTTTACTGTTAAGCATGACATGGCTTCTGGGTACACCGTGCTAACATGTTAGCTATCTTGCAGTTTACTGTTAAGCATGACATGGCTTCTGGGTACACTGTGTTAGCTGTCTTCCAGTACACTGATTGATCTCTTAACATCACAGTAACAAAAACAGCTGGTTAAACTATACAGAGAAGAATAAATATAGTTGTCTGTTAATAGCGGCATGGTCTTCTACACGAAGCTAGTGTTAATAGCGGCATGGTCTTCTACACGAAGCTAGTGTTAATAGCGGTATGGTCTTCTACATGAAACTAGTTTTGTTTTCTTCATTGTCATACCCTACCGTTGAAACCAACAGTACATGTATGTTGATGACAATGCAGGATTTCATGCAGTGTTTGTTTTCTTCTTACCGTTGAAACCAACAGTACATGTATGTTGATGATAATGCAGGATTTCATGCAGTGTCATTCAAAAAGGTAGATTTACACTTTGATTAAAGTATTGTTATATTTCATTTATTAATGATTAAAAATGTAAGATTTATAAGTAAGACATTCCATAAAGATATACAGTAGTTTTTAATATAGTTAAGATTTCCTTAATTTCGGAGATACGTGCCTTTAATTTGAACGAGTTTTATTTTTTGACAGTGGTGATTGTAACTTGGGAGAGATAACTACACAGTGGTCCTACATTTAATGTATTGTTGTTTTTGTTTTTTTTATTCAGATTTTCTTACCTTTACTGATCAGCACGTAGATAAGTAACATATTCCTGTTATACATCTTGTACTTATGTAGGAGGTGTGTGAACGTGTATATGTGTATGGTAGTCCTATGTTTATTTCATGTTTTCGTATAATGTTTGGTTTAAAAAAAAACCTTGAAATAAACTGAAAATTGTTGTGGTTGAAATAACTTTTTTTTTAACCTATGAATATTTTAAATGTTATTTAGGAAATCGGTTTTTGATTAAGTTCACTCTTGCTCAGCTAGCACTGATCTCAAAAAAATAACTGACGATAATTATCTCAGTCTGAATTCCAAAGCCATCCTACACAGTACGTGTAATTCAGTATCTTGTACCTAT